TTTGATTTTTGTACTTGATTTATATGTTGATCCCACATTTCTCCTATTATTATTATTATTTTTATTTTTAATAAAACGCTGAAGTGGTAGGTAGATGCAAGATAAAGGTAGAAAACATAGTTTAGTGCTGTAAGAAGGCAAATGTAGATGATCAGATGATCAGGTGTGTGCCTATGGACTAAGTATTAATCCAGGCTAGACAAGGGCAGCAAGACATCCACGGATGCAGAAGATTTCTCTCAAAGCAGGGGGGGTGAGGTTCTGAGCCTCACCTCTGTTGATCCCCAAATTCTCACCTGATGGCCCCCCTGCGACTGTGCCTGTCTTAGGTTGTTCCTCCCTTGAGGAATCTTACCCGTCTCTGGCTAACCAGTCATCTTCCGGGGCCATGAGTCAATACTTTTTTAATTTAAAAAGTTTTTTTGGAAAAATAAGGACGCATTATTTAATACATTTGTTTTTGAGGCGTTTATGCTACCATTGTGCTCCAAATGAAGTAAATTTAATATTTTCTTTAACTCCTTCATTTTTCCCAGTTGTGTTCTTAGAGAATAATCTTTGACAGTTCCTTACTTTAGCTAATAATAATAAAATTAATAATAGCTAATATTTGCTATTTGCTATATGCCAAGTGTTGTCTTAAGTGCTTTATAATCTGTTAACTCATTTAGCCACTCAAGAATCCCACAAGCTACTACTATTAAATTCATTTTGAAAATAAGGAAACAGTCACTGAAAGATAAAGTGACATGCCCAAAAGTATCTCAACTTTAATGTGATATCCAGGATTCGGGTCTGTGCAGCCTGTTTTCAGAGCTCTTACCCACTCTGCTCTGTGTCAAGCTAGCACTGTGTGGCATTTGGAAGGAAGTTTTAGAGTAGAACTGAGGGGACTGATTGTGGAGGTGAGAGAGTGATGTGTCAAAGATGATGGGGTTTCTAGCCTCTCAGAGGGTAATGTGTATATCCTGAACAGAAAAAAGGCAACCTCAGAAGAGGAGGGCTTCCTGAAAGAGGGTGAGTAAGTTTACTTTGGAAGTGTTGAGTTTAAGATGCAGCAGGCAATTGAAAAGTGTTGTTTGGAGCTCAGTAGAGAGATAGGAGATTAAGATATGGTTAGGTGATAATGATTCTGTAGCATGTTACTATGCTAATGGACAGTGACTGTAATGGGGTATGTGGTGGGGACTTGATAATAGGGGGAGTCAGTAACCATAATGTTCAAGTAATTGTACATTAACAATACCAAAAAAAGAAAAAAAGATATGTTTAGGTGCATCACCATTAGAGATTAGGTTATTGGGGTATTTTGAAGCACTGTGTGGCTTAGTCTTACGAGCTTGAAAATCACCTTTGTAATATATGGTCTGCTAAATTCAGAGGGTCAGATGTTGATAACACAGTATTTAAAACTTATTGTAACTTAATTTTCCTGCCAGGTGACACAGTGAAGATTGATTAAGATTTATTATTAATCTGCTTTGTATAAAATGGTTTTTTTGAAAAAGCCATATGAATAGTTTGTCTTAAGATACTATAGTACAGAGCACTATTATTTTGGAGCAACCCTTCCCTCCTCAATGATGATCAAAAATGTCTCCAGACATTGCTATATGTCCCCTTGTAGGTAAGGAACAAAATTGCCCCTATTAAAAACCACTGGTATAGCAGGAAAAGCACAGGCTTTGGAGCCGGACCGACTTACATGCAAATCCTGGCTGTGCCACATTTTAGTTGTTGGACGCTGGGCATATCAGCAGTCTCTAAAGTTTGACATTCTCATCTGTTGGGGATAATAATGTTGCCCTGTAGGGTTGTTAGCATTAAATTAAACAAGGTGTAGCCTATGGTTAGTACTATTTATTGCCCTTCCTCGTAACTATTCACTGTTTACATAGTGACTGGATACTTTACAACTGAGATTACATTTGTAAAATATTTTATCAAAAATATTTTTTTTCAGTTTGAATAGCAAAATCTTACTCAAATTTGGAATTTTTAAAAATAATTATTCTGAGTAGAAGTTAACCTGTGGGAAGGGAAAGAAGTGCTTAGTTGGAAAAGTAGAGTCTCAGAAAAACTAGTTAACTTTTAAAAA